ACGTTCCTCGCTTGGTAACCCATGTCACGCTGCTTCTGTCTGCACTGTGCTTCAAAGTGTCCGTACTTGTGACAGTAGTGACAAACTCCTGTAGCTGCTTGGGCTTTTCCTTTACCTTTTCCTTTGTGCCTATAGAAGCCTTTTCCTCGACCTTTGCCTTTTCCTTTGTAACCTCTAAATCCTCTACCTCGACCTTTCCAATTGCCTCGACCTCTGCCTTTGCCAAAACTTCCAAAACCTTTTCCTTTACCTTTGCCTTTACCGTCAAATCCGAATCCTTTTCCGAAATCCTTTCCACCTTTCTTGCCTTTACCTTTGCCTTTGCCTTTGTTATGAACATAACCTTTGCCATAACCTTTCCTACCTTTGTACCATGCTTGATTGATGTCCATTGCTGCAAGACCACCATGATCATCACCTTTGTCGATCAAGTCTGTCGTGGTTCGGTGAGGTGTTCCTTGCTGGGCTGACAAAGAGTTAGTCCAACGTTCAGTTGACTCGTAGTTCACAAGGTACTGACGAAGAGCGGTGTACTGAGTCTTCTCGTCAAGGTTGAGCAACAGGTGCCTTTTAACATCAGGCTTCATTCCTTGAATAAGAGTAGAAACTTTCAAGTTCTCTTGTACTTTTTCTCCTGTCGCCTTCTCGTACTTCTCAATGTGTTCCTCATATTCGAGGATGTTCTCAGCAATTCCTTTGTTGTGAGCAAACCTATAGTTGAGGATGTTGTGAAACAGTTCCAACGATCTTGCACGATTCGTTGGTTGATATTCCTTCATCAACATACGGTAGGCTTCCATACCGTTTTCCTCTCCTACATGCTTTACAACACGGTAAGGCCTTCCTTTGGTATATGAACAGAGAACACTGTACAGGCGGCGGCTAGCTTCCTTTGCTTCTCCAGACATCTCACTCATCTTTATCATCTTATCGTCTTTAAGGTTCCTTTCAACGATGTCCATGATCTTCACCATGTTGGAATCTACTGCTCCAAGCCAGATCCGCATCCTGTTCCTGAACTCTGTCCAGCCACTCTTCTCTTCTTGCCATGTTCCTGGGGAAAACGCTTCAGGGCTTTTGATTAGCTTGTGCAACTCCACTTCTCCAGGCTTTCTTTGTTCCTTTACTGCCTTCTCCAGAGATGCTCCTATCTCCTCAAGTGTTGTTGCTGCGTTCGAGTGGGCGTCTGCCAACGCTGTCTGTGCTGCTTTCTGTTGTTCCTGCACTGCTGTGAGTGTTTCCTGAAACGCTTGTGTAAGTCCTGCTTCTCTTTGGCTTCCTGAAGCTGCTGAGTTCCTGATCTCCTCTGCTAGTGTTTGTATTCCTTGTAAAGTCTGTGCATTGATCTCTGCAAGTGTCTTCAATGCATCCTCCATTCCTTTTGCTGCTTCAAGGTTGCTGTACACTAGTGCTGCTAGAAGTAGTGACTTGCACTGCTTCTTGTTCACTGCTTGTGCTCTCCTTTCTCCTCTTGTCTTCCTTTGGTGCTTCGAGCTTCTGCTTGCTCTTGTGAAAAACAAACTAGAATAGTACGACAGGGTGATCCAAGTAATCAGTCCCATTGGGGTTCCTAAGAACACTGCTATGCGAATTCCTTGAAATACAACTCTGTTGGAAATGACTTCCTGAACTATTACATGCACGACGTCGTGAAACTTCTTTCCTACTTCTGCTAGCTTTTCTACGAAACTCTGAACATGTTCCTGTACAAATTTTCTCAGTACTTCTCGCTGTTGTTTTACTAGGTACCTAGGGGCGTAGCCTGACTCAAGGCTCTCACTCTCCTGGTTCTCGGTGTTCCGGTCGCCGTTCCTGTTCTCTTCCGTGTAGTACTCGCCGATCACGCTAACGACGCTGTAGAGCTCATGCATCACTTGACTCGCACACAAAAGGGTGTACGGTACCATTGCTTTTCCGATCTGCACATAGTCCTTGATCGTGTACGCGTTCGTGTTCCTGATCGTGTTCACGTTGGTGCCGTCGGGGTTCACGCTGCACACGTTGTAGCCTTCCTGGTAGTACTCGCTGTACACGTCGTAGTTCCTGTAGCTTGTCGGGTGCGTATTGGGCTTCCTTGCTCTGCTCGTCCACACGGCTATGAGTTCGCTTTCGTCGCTCTCCACATACATGATTTCCTTTCTCCCACGGCTCGCATCCTTGGAATACACGCTGGTTCCAAGGGCAAGTTCATCCTTGGTTCTTTCCTTGCCAAGGGCCTGCCACGGTGTCACAACCAAACTTCTTGTTCCTGGGACCAATGTCATCCCGCAAAGCGTTGCGAGGCTTCCCAGTGAAAAACCAACCAACAGCACAACACATGCTGCCAGACCTTAGCACTTGACGTTCCTGTACTCCTTCTCTTCCACCAACACTCGGTCGGGAAAGCAATCTGCACACGCGTCGAAGTCTCGAGCGTTTCCTGCTGTCACGTTGTGGTTCCGAAGGTGTCCACAACCTCTGCGATGGTACTTGGTTCCTGAACGTACTGCGATCCTGAGCGTGGGCATGACCAGCACTGTCTCTTTCTTCCTGGTCACTTGTTCGTTCGCGCGCATCTGCTTCCATCCGGCAACGAGGCAAACTGCCATGGCAACGAGCAGCATTGTTCCTACTGCTACGAGTAGCATCATCGCTGCCAAGGAGGTTCCTGGAGGCAGCTCCGCTACCATGTTAAAGAACGGGCTTCACTAAGGGTTCCTACCCACAAAGACTGTCGGACACTTTTGTTCCTGGGCACGGTGTGTCCTGGGGTCTCGAGCCTGCCACGTCGCGTATGCGTGTCGGCTGTTCCTATGCATTAGCACTGTAGTTCCTGCAGGTGTACTGTCACAGGTGGAATGTTTAACAGTTTGTCAGCTCCCGAGGTTTTCGTTCTATCGAAAACTCCTCGTAATCCTTGTGAAGACATCGTCATCTGCTCCGGTAAAATGCCCTGCAGGTCATTGGCCCTGCTAGATGTCCATAGTTTCAATAGCCGTGCCCACGCATATGCTCTGACGAACTTCTTATGCGCAGAGTTCACAACCACAGCCTCTAAAGACATGACCATGATGAGAGCCAGCGCTGGAGCTTGCTTTGTAGGCGGCGCCCCTGCTTCAAGCTCAGCCGTGCGAACTCGAACCAAATTCCGCACCAGGACATGCAGAGGAGATGGAGGCCTCGGCCTTGACTCCTCCGACCCTCTCGAAGAAAATCACTGCAGAGAGCACAGACTGTAGTCTGGTCCTGGCACAAGGTTCCTGCGCCAGCTCTTCCACATAATTCATCAAGAGGCCAAGATGCGAGGGGAACACTGTCCCCTCAACAGCGAAAAACCATGCCGAAAACTTGGACCATTCCCTCACGTGCCGTCTTAGGGTGGACGCTCTAAGCGTCCCTGCTGACGCCTCCAATACAGCTTGGCAATCAAGGGCGTAACTTGCCATTGAGCATACCGGCATACAAGCCCTTTTCAGCTCTTTCGCTAAAGCCTGCCTCCAGCGTCGGAGCTCTGCAGCCTCGGCGTCAGCCCTCGCACGATCGTGCTTGGCCAAGGCAAGTTTCTTGGCCAACCGACACGGCCACGCTGTGAGGGATCGCTTTGCACCGGCTCTTGTCTGAAGCCACCCAGTGCCTACTTCAAGCTGCTGCTGAGGCCCAGCCGAAATCGATGAGGACGTTTGCGCCAGCTGACCTTGCACCGCTCTAGTCCTCAAGACGCGATCTGCAGCCTGTGATACATCAGAGCAGACCTTTTCAAGTATTTCGCATGCACTGAACCATTCAGCTGAGCCCATTGTAAGTCCCAGTGATTCCACGAAATCTTTGATGTCTGAATCATCTGAAAACAAGTTCGACAAAATCTCGGGAGAGGGCTGTCGCGACTCCTGATCAAGAGCCTTCTTGACACACTCAGGTAAGTCCTGCCACGACAGATTGAAGCCAGCCTCTTCCTGAGGCTCCTCGTCACCCATCGCGCATGACGATCACTCCGACCCATACACAAATGAGTCCCCCCCTCCCCTTTTGGACTCCGCAGAGCCGAGCCCAAAGGTTCGGACGAATATTGATTGTCACCTGTTCCTCCAGCAGGAGGGAACAAAAACTGCACATGAAGAAATTCATGTAAAACAAATCACCGTGTGACATGAAAATCAATCCATAAAAGAGTCGAAACTCGACTCAACAAATGGAAAGCATTTTCGATATTGGCACATGAAAATGTGAGCAAGTTATGTTTCTTATTTCCAAGTCCACAAACGCATGAACAAATTCGTCGTTATTTGGGAATATCAATCAAATATATTTCGTATGAAATGTTCAATCACACATGTGAGACTGCGATGCATTCACTCGGACCCCTCCTTCATTTTATCGGATAAGCTCGAAGTGCAATGGGGAAAGTCGAAAGTCAAATCGGATGTCTGTCCCAAGGTCAAGCCTCCAAGGCTCGGCCAAGGGCCACGACTCCTAAAGCACAAGTTTCAAGTGCACCCGAACTTCCCCCAGGGTGGGCGGGCGGGACAAAAAATTGCACTCATGTGCTTGAAGGAGCGTGCGCGGGAGACATGTTGACAACTGATCATCAAAGAATAAAGTTCATGAAAACCCAATCGTTAAAAATCAGGTTCAAAAGAGTTTCCCAAAAACCGCACGAAGTGTTCATGCACGATCGTTTCTCAACGAGACAACAATCGTTGTGAAATTGGAAATAAAGTGAAAATCACAAGTGATGTGGTCACTTATTTCCAAGTCCACAAACGCATGAACAAATTCGTCGTTATTTGGGAATATCAATCAAATATATTTCGTATGAAATGTTCAATCAGACATGTGAGACTGCGATGCATTCACTCGGACCCCTCCTTCATTTTATCGGATAAGCTCGAAGTGCAATGGGGAAAGTCGAAAGTCAAATCGGATGTCTGTCCCAAGGTCAAGCCTCCAAGGCTCGGCCAAGGGCCACGACTCCTAAAGCACAAGTTTCAAGTGCACCCGAACTTCCCCCATCGAAGTGCACTTCAGCTCGTATCCGGAGGCCTTTCAAGCAACAGACTGCCCAAGTCGACGCTGTCCCGCCTTGCACCTTGTTTAATCAAGTGGTCCACGATCTGTCGGCTCGGCGGATCTGCAGGATTCGAGTGAGTAGGCACTCGACCAGACCACGGTCTGGCCAAGTTGTCGTGTTCCAAAGACAATACTCGCTGCAGGAGCCGCCGCCCGTTCCGGGTCCCAGAGCGACCAGCAATCAAAGCAGATTGTGCAGCTTCGTTGTCTAGGTAAAAGGTGCTGAAGGTGTCCTTCAACACGTCTGCCCATAGCATGAACGCCACAAGCACCGCGTAAAGCTCAACTTCATAGATCGGATGCTCGGATTCAGCCTCCAGCACTTCCAAATCAAACATTGGGATCTCCGAGCTGAAGAAAGCCAACGGGACGCCAGAGGCATCGTAAATGATTCCTCCGATGCCGGCCACAATCTCAGCGCCAGGTTCATAAGATCCATCAGTAAAAATAAAGAGCTCTCTCCCGGAAGTCTGCCTCAACTCCAAGGGTCTCGAGGTACTGACGTGTTCGAGCAGTGTCCTCACCGCCCATTCCAGATCAGCACTCAGTTCCGATGAACCATCGATTCCCCTGGCCCTTAAGGAAAGCTGGTGCATAGCCTCGCACGGTGCCCGTCCGAACAAGTAAGAAGAATACCAATGCATGCGCCCCCGGAGGACTTCAGCCTCCTTGGGGCTAAGCCTTCCCGTCTGCAAGATGTTCGCGAGAACGTCATTCAACTCCTTCTTTCGATCGCTGGTATGTGTGATGGAGATGACCCCGCTCTCGAATCCCGACAGGTCGAAGGCCAAGCCAAGTGCATTAAAAACTGCATCAAACTTTGTTGCTTTCTTGCCCTCTTTGGCATACTGAATCCCAAGAGCCTCGAACACCTCGTCGGCGAATTCTTCGATCTGTTCTTCCATTCCATCACAAGATAGCAATGGAAAATCATCGAAGTAGGCGCACCAGCCCAAGCCCATGTCCCGGACGCCAGTGTGCCAGACGGCGGCTGACACCCTAAGGAAACCAGCCACACTTCCGGTGGCACCGAAAGGTAGGACATTAGTCCCATAGATCCGCGCTCTCTTGCTGTCCGTGTCGAACACACCAATCCTCAAGTGTTGTCTGTCAAGAGGATGTACTGGGTAGAACTTATAGGCTGAGACGAGATCTATTGTTTTCCCAACCAATTTGAACAAGCGGTCACGTGGCATATTCAACAACTCAAGGAAGACAGCCGCCAGAACGTCGACCCCGTGCAGGGTGAACTTCTCTGGCAGCCCGCAAGCCATGTTCAAGCCACAGTCCTTGCCGTTGTCAATCACCCGTACTTTGTTTTTCTGCTCAAGTCCGAAGCGGTGCGCCAGAATGATGTTGCTGAAGTCAGGGACGGTGTCCTCGAAGATCCAGCCCTTGCGCTCCTCCTCTTGGGTTTCAGCCCACGCCTTCCTAGACGTCTCGTCCGGCTTCGTGTTTGTTATCCGGCTCATAGTCATGGGAGATCGGTAAGACGATTGTGCTAGCAGGCTTTCAAGAGAGGATTCCGGTGCTTTGACTCTAGGCTTGAAGATTCCGGTCTCTCTCATCCATCCTGTTAAGCGGAAGCCATCACGCAAGTCAGCCCAAAGCATCTTGTCAGGGAAACCATTTCGCTCAGAATGCGCTTCCAAGCAATGACGTTCTTGCCAGCCAGCGCCTTCGCCAAGTACGCGGGCTTTTGTTTCATAAGCGCGTCGTTGGTGTCAGCCGACTCCTTGGAAATTTTCTTCCACGCATCCCGAGCCTCTTCGGCCCTTTTCTTGCGCTCCTCTGCTGGCATAACTACGTTGGCAGCGATTTCCTTTGCAGGACCTTGGCGATTGACCAGTATTGCATTGCGAGGGTGCCCCGCTCGGACCGCAGCCTTCACAAAGTCCTCTGGTTCACGTGGAATTCCAATAGTAAGAATTTCTGCCTGGGTCGCACAAGGGTTGTCATCGCACACCATTCCCACCACCTCGTACACGTCGTTTTTATCCTCGCTTGCAAGCAAAGAGAAATCGGAAGTGTCAGGTTGAGAGATCTTGGCCGTCCCTCCCAGCAACTCTGCAGAACTATGTCTGTCAAAGCCAGGATATTTCGAGGCAGCGCAAACCCGGACTGCTCCCCATGGCACCAGTTTGCGTTGTGTCACACGAGCACCTTTGGGGTAGCACTTCAAAAGAGGTGCCGCAGCATCCGCGGAGCGTACAGGTACAGCCCAGCAGTCGTGTGATTGGTAGCATGAAACCAGAGGTCGAGCATATTTTGGCTGTCGCTGCAGTGCGACTTGCTCACAGGCTCGCGGTTGCTGTGAAGTGGAAGCCAACGCAGGAAAACTCTCAGCCAGAATGTAAAGCATCCGTTCGCAAAGAAGCCAAGGGTATGCCGCCTCCTCAGCAGTAGGGAATTGCCAATGCCCATCCACAAAGCGAGGCTTCCAGGATGCATGTTTGTGGTCACGGGAACAACGTAGTGCCAGCGACTGAAAGCGTGGGTCGGAGCACCAGAATAAGGTAGTTTTGTCGCGATCCCCGCCATGCATGCAAGCATCAAAGATGAGTTGGTAGCTATCTTTACGGCGACAAAGGTGGTCGAGGCCGTCACATAGCCAAGCCAAGCTGTTGAGAGGGTTCTCGACGGTTGCGAAAAGACCCAGCTGCAGGGCGAGGTCAACGATGCAGCCGACAGCTCGATACAACTTGTTGGCAGCGAGTACACGATCGCGGTCGGCACCGGTCAGTGTGGAGAGGCCCTGCGGCTCCGTGACACTGCGTAGTGGTTGAGGCACAGGGCAGCCGTAGTGCTCAGCCTTATGCAAAGGCCTGGACCGTGCCGCCGAGGCTGTACCACAAGGAGGTGCCAAATGGATCCAAGCAATGTTGTCAGCCTCCAAGTTGATGATGTCAAGCAGCGTCTGCACGTCGGCATCCAACGTAAGGTCCAGTCGTTGTATAGAGAAGTTGGTTCTCTGCGAGGAGCGGTCCACCGCCAAAGTACGAAAGCCCATGCGCCCAGCAACAGTGCTGAGGCGGGCGGTGCCAGCAAAGATTTCGATAACAAGTGGAGCCAGGTTGTTCGGGAAGATCTTCTCAGCCAATGCATCAGCATGGTGATCGGCCGGTGTGGTTGGCGTCGTAGAGTTAGACGACGTTGCTGTAGAATGCACTGGCAAGGCAGGCCGATATGCAACGCGGCGGCGCTTGGTGATGGAAGCTGAGACCTTTGGCGGCAGCTTCGTAGAGGTAGACAAAGAGGGCGAAGAAGTCGTTGAAGTGACCTGGCGAGGAGCGGCAGCAGGTTCTTGGGGAGGGCCGGGCAGTGGAAAACCAGAGTCCCGCAGCCAGTGGCAGTCCCGTTCAGAGAGTCGTTGTGTATCACGAACGCAGAAACCCACCACGAGCAGGCGGTCCCCTGTCCAGGGCATGTAGTGTGGAGACGCTCTGAGGGCAGCCGTTGCGGGCCAGAAGCCACATCAAGCAGGTAACCAAGGCGTTTGGCGGAGAGGTCAGGACACGGATGCTGCCCGCGACCTTCCACCCAAACCTGACCATCCGAAAAATGCGAGGCTGGCAGCAACAGGTTGGCGTGCCGATGATCATTGTTGCGATCCGAATGAAGCGGCGCCCTCAAGTTGAAGAATAGGCCCACCGAAGAAAAACAGGCATCAGGAAACTCGGCCGACAATATGCGTGCAAGCAGTTGTGTGGAAAAAGGAAATGCAAAGCAATTGGATCGAAGCCCGTTCTTGTCGTGGTGCACGTAGGCTCCAGAAGTAAAAGATTTGGGATCCGCAGGAGCAACAGGTTGGCCTGAAGGTGCTCCCACAGAGTCCGCCGGTAGGCGAGCACTGAGCTCACGAAGTTGTGCAAAACTTGCAAAGCCAAGATTCAGGCACTGGGCTGCCAGCGATTCGGCAGAAGAAAGGTCCTGTGCTGTCACCGGCACCGGAGAAAAAGTGTATCCCAGCCCGTCGTCATCCTGGCCAGTGATCCGTCCAGCCTCAACCTGGCCGGGGGTTGCAGCGACGAGTCACTCCTTGGTTTTGCCTTTACCAGCGCCCTTCCAAGTGCGAGCACGGCAATTGCGAAAGGAGTGACCAGCCCTACGACAGAAGGCACACACATGAACACCATGCTGGCACGCTGGGGGATCACCGTCAGTCTTGAGCTTGCAGCCGCCGCAGTTGTGATCCCAACAAATGAGCTTGCCATCCTCGGTTTTCTGGTGCGTGCCCTTCAACTCGGCAGGCATGGCACGTGCCCCTTTGGGGGTCGAAGTCGGCTTTCCAGGCGGCGTGGCATTCCGTGCCGCCGCCGCCTTCAAGCGCCTCCGACGTTTTGCCGAGCGAGACAGACCCTCGCCGTCCTTTGGTGGGGACGGGACATCCAAAGGCATCTTGACGTCAGGCTGCCGGCCCCAAGTAGGCATAAGATACATGGTGATTCGTGGGTCAGTGCGGAGGGCCTCGAGTGCAACACCAAGCGGAAACTCGCCAGCGGCTGTGACCTTGAGACTCGGCACCTCCGATGCAAGAATGAGCCATGCCTCCCGGTCGGCTTGCACAATGCGGTTCATATCCGGCTTGTGGAACCCCGAAGGGCACTCACGCGTAAGTGCGTGGAGGAGGCAATGCACCCACCTCTCATGTTGTTGCCAAGACATAAGTCTAGCTTGATCAAGTGCAAGGCCTCTCCTTTGAAGACACCACTGTAGTCGTATGGGAGAGTCGAAGCAGGCCACATCATCTGGGCCCTCGTTTCCGACTTTCAAGCTGTTATCCTCCAGCTTAAACACCTTGGTTTGATCGCGGGTCGAGAGTTGGATCTCGCTTTCGCGACTCGTGCAGCGGCCTGGGCTGATCCATGTCACCCCGACCTCGAGCATATGGAAGCACAAATCCACCAAGGCATAAGATGGAACGGAGTCCCTCTCTATGTGGACCCCCGCCAAGCGGCGTTTCTGATCGGCCGCTCTGGCCGCTTTTTCAGCGAGGGGGAGTTTCTTAGGGGTCTCAGAAGCATCGCCTTGAACATTCTGGCGCAACTGTGCGATCACAAAGGTGCATGATTCGAAGATGAGTCGCTTCAAGAGCGAGACGTCGCCCAAGCGAGGCGCAGCTCCGAGAATCCTAGTACTGAAAGCATCCAGCTCGGTCTGCGTAGGGCGATCCTGAGGGGTGCCGCATGCATAAGCCAGACTAGCAAAGGTCGTGACACCATTGTCACGCAAAGCCGTGTGAATGGTTCCCGCATTCACCTCCTGGCATCGCTGGGTGAAGGCAGCTTCGGAATCCACAAGCGACATGATGCCCTGCGTCTGAGTCACAAAACACTCAAGCGGAGAGGCTTCCATGACAGTAGCACCGGCAGTGCGAGCATGCACACACGAAGAGTACGTGGGTCTTTCGAAGAGGCGCGTTTCACAGATCCGCCGCGAACTTCTTGCAGTTCCGGCAAACTGAAGAGTCAAATCGAATTTTTATTGGTGGCTTGTATGTGTCGCCAACCATGCGGCCGCACAGCAAAACCTTCCGATTTTGATCGGAAATCAAGTGCAAAAGCCGAGTCCGCTTGTGTTGCAGGAAAGATGTGCCTAGGGCGGGCTTCGGTACACCCACCTTGCGCTCAGGTTCGTGACTGATCCTTGAAGACGAAGAAGACGACTCATCTGAACAGCTTGAACTGGAAGAGTCCGTCCCGGAAGCAGTCCCATTAGGTTCCTCGATCAAGTTGTCCCACGGGTGTACTGGCGAATCGCCGATATCGGGCGACTCCGGTTCCTTGTTGGCGGCAGTATGCTCTGGGCTTGGAGGAGAGATGCCCAAGTCTCTCCAATCATCGTCAGCGAGCCGCTCAGGGAGCGGGAGGTCCCACGAAGCTGCATCTTGCTCTGTTAAGCCGTCCTTGCTATTGCCAGACTGATCAGCAGGGCAATTACCATTTGTGGCCTCAGACCCCGCGCCAGCTGCAAAGGCACCTGTGGCTGTAGGGTCACGGACCTGCAGCCTATCCGCCGTCAGCCGGCGTTCCCTCAGGCCAGCACCGAAGATGTACCCCGCACGTCCAGCGTCAGGGTCGAAGACACCTTCGCGGATTTCCTCCAAGAGCGCCAGGAGCAACCTTAGTGGCCGTGCCAGCTCGTCATCACCATAAGTGTCGGCCATCTTCGCCGAGTTGGCGTGACCACCCATGGTTAGCCGATCAAGGTGCTCAACCCCACGCTTTGCAGCCATGGTCAAGAAGGTGCGCTTCATGAGGTGTCCTGTTGTGTTCTTGCTATTGTCGCACCCCAAGACCTTCTGGATCCAAGCAGTAATCTCTTTAGAAGAGACCGAACACCCCATGGCCTCGCCAGCAGCATTGGGCGTAGGCAGCGGCGGCAAGAATGTAAACAGTCCGACCTCCGCACGAGCCTGTTTCCACAAGTGCAGCCAGTTGTCACTGAGAATCCCAACTCCAGGAGCAATGAACCTAACAGGCTCGCCAGCAAAGTACTTGGAATTTACTGTCTTATACACCTCAACAGTGTACACCAAGAAAATGATGTCCCCCTGGCCGTTCGTCTCGATATCAAAGCTGACTGAATGTTGGAAGTCCCCCCAACGCGATCTCATGTAAGTGCAACAGAGAACTGCTCCTGCGAAAGTGCGGTCCCAAGCTGGAACATCCTTGTCCGCAAGCAAATGGTGAAGCTTCTTCAATTCCAGAATGGAGAACGGATGAGCCCTCTTCTTGCCACGCTTCACAGTCCCCCTCTGCGACGCCCCCAGACAGCGACGACTTTCAATCACCCTGTCTAGTTGTGGAACCATGAAAACATGCCGCACGAAGATTATAGCTTCTCGCAGAGCTTTCAGCTGTGACGGTTTCGCCCCACCGGCCTTAGCATCTGACATGTATCGGTACACATCTTGCTCACGATAAGGAAAAGTCCCGTCGCCCCAGCCAACAACTTTGTGATATCCCATAATAGAATTGGCTCTCTTCAACAAAGTGCTCGGCGCCTTGGGATGCAGCCAATCCTGGACCACGTTGATCCTTTGATCTTTCTCGGTGCATTCATCCAGGCTTTGGCATACCAACAAATCAGGACACGTCTCAGACCACTTCACTATGATGAAAATCCATCGAGCAATAGCCTTGTCAGAATCTTGTTGCCGTTGATCCTCCCAGCTCAATCCTTCAGTCTTGCGAACAACAGTAAAGCAAATGCCTTGCGAGAAATCAGCATCCAATACCTTGCGTTTTTTCTCGGCTGGAAGCAGAGTTTCCTCGTCGCCATGATCCCACCCCGGTGGGTCCGGCAGATCGAACCTGTCCTTCCAAGACAAAGGATCCTCCCCTTCGAAGATCTGCTTGAACACTCCAGACTCCCACGGAAGCAGCTTATCCCTAGGAGTGGCTTCCGAGCATGAGTCAACAGCAGAAGCAAGCAGAGTCTTGAAATCGAAATGAGACATGAGCGCTCCCGTATCGCACCCACAGCAAGAGCGCGACACAAGAGGGCGACCCCAGGTCGCAAAGCCACAGCTATCCAGCGGGCCGAGGACTCTGTGTCGCCGAGGCTTGAGAGGCAACTGCCGAATCCACGGGTGACCACTCGCGCAAGTGCCACCTGAGGTCCGCGTGCCACCACCAGCAGATCAGCTCAAGCGAATGCCGATCAACTGCGCACAGGCAGTCGCCCACAGAGGCAACCGCCGCTGGAATGCAAAGCAGCCCCTGAAGAGAAGGCTCGATATCGTCCAGCACAGCAGTCGTGTCACTCCGAGGGCTAGCGGACATGCGCAGCTACAAACCTAGCACAAAAGGCAATCCCAAATCGGTGACGTAGGTTATGTGAAGTGCAGCACGGCACAAAGCCTGGAAAAGAGCACTGGTTGACAAGCACCTGCAGTACGCCGAAGTGTCCTAGCACAAATGAGTGGCGTGAGCAGTCCATGTTGCTATGCAAGTGCCCGCCACATGAACACCTGTTTGGGATGCATCTGGGCAGGCGCGCAAACAACATGAAAGTTGGTCATGGCAGCTTCGGCAAATCACTCATGAGGCAGGACAATGAATGCAGGCCGACATGTCAAACTGTATGCACGCTCACGGAAGAAAACATTTTACAGCAGCGGAGGCCTGGAAGTTTAGTCGACCATCACCGTTCCAGGAAGACGATCGGCCACAAAATAAAGCCTCCATAGCAGCCGAAGGTGCCAGCCCAAGGCGAAGCCATTCAGCAGTCGGGTAGTCCAAAAGACCACTTCAGCCAGTCCTGGTAGAGGCAGCACGGCGTTTCCTGGCAAACCGTCGAGTGAAGGAGCCACGGCACACCAGGCGGAAGTTTGTCTCCATCTGGAACCATGTAGAGCGCTCCAAGCTGCACTCATAAGTCGGCCGAACCCCGGCCCGTCGAAAGTGGAGCGTAACACCATCAACGATCCATCTCTCATAATTTTCGTGATGGCAGGTCCTGGCGGAATCATTGATTCCACAAAACTCCAGAACCGTATATTGCATAAAGATTCGTGAAACAGTATCCGGGCTCAATATAAAGAATGCCCGAGAATATAATAAGTATTGGAGCCAGTTATCAAAAATGCTCCCGAATATATTCGCACAACTGAAGTCGCGATCTCTTTTCTTCCGAGCACTCGAAAGGGGCTGTTCGAAAAGGGTTTTCGCACCGACAACTTCGGTGCATAACACGTGTGGTAGAGTTTCCACAAAGCGGTTTGCGGTAAGAGAATCCGCTATGTGTCAGCACCCGATTGCCCCCCCAGGAGTGGGTGGGTGGGACAAAAATTTTCTTTGTGGCTCCCAAAGCCACTTGAGCTACAAACTGCCGGTGCATTAAACATTCGGAACTGAGACATGAGTGAAAAGAACTGCATGCAAAGACCAGACAGGTATAAAAACATTTGTGTGATAAAATCATGATTTCACACAAATTTAAAAGATTGAAATCATGCAATTAAACGGTTCGCGGTTGTCGCCATTTTGAGGGCGAAGGATTTCCCTCAAATAAAACAACCTTGGAGTTTAGGTGGAAAGAGTTATCCGCCCGCGGAAACGTGTCTTCCACAAAACTCCAGAATTTCCGGCGATCTGGGGGCTGAGCGACTTCGAGAAGACCGCTCAGCTGCTGTCCGAGGTCCTCGCGGGTCGGGTGAAACATCCCGCAACATGCTGATTCATCTAGGAGAGTGCGAAGCTGTGCAGCACAAGTCCATAGCGATGATTCTCAGCGACACTATTAACAAAGAGACGAGGCATCATTGGGAGCCTTCGCCACACGTTGAATGGGAGGGAAGTCAGGAAGCCGCAGTCCGTCTGACATGTACCTCCTCTTGTGAAAAGCAACGAATTGGATGTATCGGATTAGCAACGCAATCACATCCGGAAACATTCCGAGCAGCAATTAACAGTTCGGAAAGAAGCACGAAACGACATGGCCTGAGCAGCAAAGCTACGAGTCAGGCCCAAAAGCTCGGAGCAGCAGGGCTACAATTCCGAAAAGAACTCAAAACTACACGGGAGGCTCTCACGTCACTTCAGAAGGCGTCGTCGGTGGAGCTCAGAGGACCTCGCTTCCGCAGCCCACAGCAGCCGCCCTTGTAGTAGACGAAGAAGAGGAGGAAGGGTGAGCCAGCAGCCCAAACCAGCAGCAGCAGCGCCAGACCAAAGAGGCAGAGCAGTGCCGCTCTCGGTTTACGCCAAGAGCACAGCCAGTCCACACAGGAACCCCTAGGGAAGGGGACAGGGCCTAAACCCGAACGACCCAAAAGGGAACAAGGGCCGTCAAGAAAGGATGCCACGTGAAAGTCAAGAAATCGTGAGGCATCACGCGCGAAAGGTATTAAATGCGAAAACACCCGGGCCGGCACCAGCAGCCCTAGTAGAGCATAAGCATTCGGCGAGAGGCCAAAGCGCACCTCATTTGCACACAGGGCTCCTAAGGGGAGGGAAGGGCCTAAACCCGAAAAACCCAAAAGGAGAGGACCAGCCTAACGAAAAGAGCCCACACCAGCAGCAGCAGTGCTAGGCAGGAGCCAGGCAAGCAGCGCTCGGAGTGGTTCGAAGCACGCACCCGGAAGAAGCGGATGGGCCATAGCAAGGTCAGCAAAGATTGTTACAAGAAACGTCCCAGAATCAGGGACTCCCGCCGGCAGCAGCATCGCCACACAAGGAAGCATTGCCGCGCTCAGCAGAAGGGCCTGAGCTCACGCAAGATGCACAAGAGTACCACTAGGGGAGAGGGGCCTAAACCCAAGAAACCCAAAGGGGAGGCAAGGGCATCGCGGAGCCACGGAGGCCTGGGAAAGCGAGCTCCACACAATAGCAGCAGCACCACGCAGCAAGCGAGGCCGCGCTCATGCATAGAGAAGTTTACGCCAGGTGCACACCGGAACCTCTAGGGGAGAGAAGGGGCCTAAACCCGAGCAAACCCGAAGGGGAGAGGGCAGGGAGTGAGAGTTCGTTCCGCCCGGCACATGAAAGCACAAGCTGCACACACACGAAAGACATACCAAGGGCAATCAAAGAATTGAGGAGCCAAAGGTAAGTAGTCATAGAGCATTCTGGTGCGGCCAAACTAGTCAAGGCCCAGCCCCTGCGGGCTCAGCATCATCAAGGGGAACACTTTTCACATGTTTGTCCAGCTTCTCGGCAGCAGCTGCCGCAAGTCTGATGGTAGCCAGCTCCCAATCCCGAGCCTGCTCACACTGTTGATGCCATCGCTCCCGAAGAGAGCCCAAGAGCCTGTTTTGCATGCAATTGCCCGCCGCCTGATCTGCAGCATGGTTAAAGGCGCGGAGCACATCCGCATCGTGATCCGGCGAAGGCCGCCAGCGGGGGTGCTTATTGTGTGACGGCACCCAAATCAAGGAGATAGCACAGCCGCGCCTCACCAGTTCCTTCCAGAGACGGCGCGCGTCCCTCAGCAAGAGGCCCAACTTAAAGGGATCATCACCATGGCCCGAGATGGCCGTCAGGGCAGCTTTGCAGTCGGTCAAGATGAAAATGCACGTCTCGCAGCCCTCACTCCACACCCGGTGGACCGAAGCAAAGGCCGCGTGGAGGGCCAGAACTTCCTGCCGATACGGGGATTGATCCTCTGCCCCAGTGCCCATGGCATAGACACAAGACGGATCGCCGATCACCACCGCATAAGCACCGACAGATCGATGGCTGGAGCCATCAGTAGCCGCATAAATCCTGCTCCTGCCAGAGCCGAGGGCAGCACGGAAAGCAGCATCCAAGTCCGCCCGAAAAGCCCCACAGTCAGAGGCGGCAGGCGCCGGAGGTTTCAAGGGAGTCGACTTGGCAAACATGCGCTCCTCCGCCCGATTCGTCGGAGGGGGGTGATCCCGCCGGAGCGCCTCGGTGCACTCGCAAACCCAGGTCACATGCGGTCGCGACGGAGCAGTCGCTCCGCAGAGGCACTGCATGCGCCTATGCTGCTCGTTCAAACCCTGCCCGGCCGTAAAGAACCAGCACGAGCCTCCCGTGACAGCAGCAGCCCGTCTCATATAAGGAGTGGTCGCCTCATGCATGGCAACGCGGTGCCCACGAAAGCTGAAGCGCGCATCCCGCAACGGAGGTGCCAGATCCAGGCCGCGTGCAAGGCTCGGGTCCGGCCTATGAAAGCTCCGCCAGACGCGCTGGCATCTCTGCATGTAAAGGTGCCGGTAATGGTCAAACAGCCAGCCCTTAACCTCAGCAAAGCTCTCCCATCCGACCTGCACCTCACGAGAGATCCCTAAGTCATCACGGCAGGCGAAAAAGAAGCCATCAGGGCGTTCAACGACGCTCCACCCCAATTTGCGAAGGAGGCCAGGCGCAGCAGGCAACAGCTGATCCCAGCGCTGGCCCCGGGCATCACGCGGTTGCTCCAGAGCAAAGGCCGGAGGCTTGCAGAGGAGGCGCCAGGCCTCGCGGAGCACAGCAGAGTCAGCAGCGCACTGTGGCTCCAGCATCCACCCCACATGTTCGAAGATCAGGACACGCGGGGCTTCAAAGGAAAATTGACAGTCAAAAACACGAATCGCAGCATCTCTAACTTGCTTCATCTCGCCTGCCAGTGGCGTGGCATAGGCAGCGGCCCACACCAAGCACGGGTAAACAAGTGATTTCAGCATGAGGGCCCGCAGTCGACTGCAAGCGGTCACCCAGCGCAAAAGGTCCATGCGCAGCAAAGCTTTTCTCAAGGAAAATTTCAGCAAGCCCCATTCATCATTAAAGGAAACAGTGACACCTAAGACTTCAAGGGTTTGCGAAAACTGATAGTTGAATCGGGCAGCCAGAGCAGAGGCCTCGACATGACCCTCCGGCGCCACGATCGCACACTTTGGCAGGGAAATTTCAAGACCACAAGTGGCATCGAATCGGTCGGAGCGCCGAATCGCATGCTCCAGGTCGCCAAGATCCGCAGAGAAAGTCCAGAAGGACCGGTCGTCCAGGTAGACCAGGCCTGAAACCCCTTGCCTCAACACAGCCAAGGTCCAAAGGTGGCTAAATGCGGCAGCAAGGGTGGGACTTAAGGGACAACCCTGAGCTATACCCAAGCGGGGCTTAAACCAGGCATCACTGTATGCACCATCAAGTTGGACGATGCGCGAAGCTCGCGTGTAAAAGGCCTTCAGCAGCGGCCAAAGAAAAGGCGGCGCTTTCAAATGAGAAAGGAGGACCTCTAGGGCTTCAAACTGGATGGCATCAAAGAACCCCGCAATGTCCTGTTGAACCGCAACATTAGCGCCACCGCGCATTGCAGCATTCAGCTGAAGCAGGGCACCCGACACCGACGTGCCCGGGATGCCACCGGCATCCGACGGAGAGCTCCACGAACCTATCCAGTCGGAGAGTTGGGCATTCAAAATCCTTGCTCCCGCACGCCAGACAGCTTGAGAGATGGTTAACGGCCTGAAGCCCCCCTTGATTTTCTTAATCATCACCACACGTGCCTGTGCCCACTGGGCGGGGACGTCACAACAAGCAAGGCACCGATTCCACAGCTGGGAGGTCCACACCCACCAAAGATCAGGCATGGAACATAGCAGTCCCGGTTTCCACGCATCCGGCCCGGCAGCACGGTGCCTCATGGACTGCATTGAGCGTCGGAGAGCCTCTGGCGTGATGTTAGGCACGACCTCCGTGCTTGCGGGGCGCGGCAGGGGCCGCAACAGATCACGCATGGCCTGCATGTCGACCGCCCTAAAGGACGCGGGACAGAGCTTCGCCCGCAGTTCCTTTGCCACAGCTGCAACCGCGACCGCCGGATGTGCAGGGTCGCCCGGACTGGCAACATCCGGAAGCTGACGCTCCCAAGCGAGCTGCTCATCAGCGCGCCGCTTGACAAAAGACCGGGCACGAGGCAGGTCCGCACGCGTCCTGGTGCGCCACATCTGCTTTCTTGCCTCCTCCTCCTGCTGCATGAAAGTCTCAATGAGCTGTGCAACATGTGGAAGAAGGGAGAGCTCATCGCCATCACGGGCATAAGGCAGGCTGGGCACCTTCAAGCGCGTGGACCGGAGTGAGCGCCTGATTCGCGCCACCAGCAAAGCATCGTTCGTCCGGTGGGAAAGAACCTGAAGCCTCGCACGGAGTCGCAGCAAAAGGCGCAGGCCCTCCGACTTCACAAGCTGCTTGCCAGCCCGTCCCGCCGCACTGTGGGCGACAGGCTCCCAGGAAGACGCGCGAGGAACGCACTCTGCAGAGCACGGCTCACACAGCAGAAGCTCGGCGGTGTCCGACAAGAAGCGCCACGCCCCGTCCAAATCATTCTGTTCCAAGGCGCTTGCAAAGGGTCCAGCATCAATTTGAGCACATCTGGACTCCAAGTCAGAAGACTGGAGATCATCACGAGGCTTGCATCGCTTGGGCCCAACCAAGGGACAAGGAGCATCGAGGGCATACAAGTAGTGTACCCCCAAGTGGTCCGAAAAATCGCACGTAAAGTGATCTACAGAAACCGCAGGCAAGTCACGATGATTAACGGCAAAATCAATGCGACGAGTGCGCACGCCTTGGGCGTTGACCGGGCCCGTGGCAGGAAGGGGCCGGCCACGCGCACATTCATCACCAGCAAGCACGATGCCTTGCGAAATTAGCGATCCTAAGCGGCCTTGGGAAGGCTCAAGGTTGTAGTCGCCCAAAACAACAAACCTATAACCCGAGGAAACCGCACACTCCAAAACCTCATCCACTTGTGTCTGGGCAACTGGCTCATTGCCTGCCTGGCCATAAAAGGCCACCACCAGGATGGTTTCATCAGTGGCACTCCTGGAGCTCGCAGGGAGCAAAGAATCATCCTCAGGAAGGGATCGCAAATTAAAGAGCCCCGCCACGTGCCTGGTAGAAGCAGGACCCTTACACAACTGAACGTGCCGAAAAGGAAAATCGCTGACCAAGGCAACCCGGCTGCCGAGATCCTCGGGGGCGCTCAGAGCAACATGCCGGCCGTGCGTTTTCCACTGGTTGCGATAGCCGATGCCAGCCGTTGCAGGAACATTGACCTCGGATAAAGCCATGATCTGTGGGGGGCCTTGCCGAAGCAGAGCATCAAGCAGCCCCACCGTCGACGTGCCACGCCGGTGAACATTCAAGCACGAAAGACGAATCACACCGACAACATGGGGGCTCGCAAGGCCTTTTCAGCAGCAGCAAAGGCAAGCTCGCCCTGCTCTTTGCGAACCGAGGCAGGTGCAGCATCATGAAGCTTCTTATTGGCAGCAAGGGAGCGCAACCGAATCCACGCCCTCGCCTTAGCAGTGCGAGAAGGGCACTGTCCCTTTACCGAGCGATGCTTCCTAGCAATCTCTGCAGAGGGGCACGGCGCTCGGCATTTGCGACACACCCAAGCCGGGCATATGCGCAAGGGATACTTATCAACAGTATTGGTGTCCTTTCCGGCCTGGCGCGGCCATCCGAAGGCATCAAAGTCCTGAGCCTCAAGCTCGCGCAGCACCGGCAGGAGCTTAGCTTTCTGGGCATTATTGCGAGTGGCACTGATCTTTGAGGCCCATTTGGTAGCCGAGTGCGATTTCGCTTCCTTGTTCCACACAGCCCAAGAGACGCGCGGGTGGGCCTGTGTTTTATGCTCCCTGCGAAAGCGACACAGAGAGTCCTTGCCAAAGCGGGCCGCATCAGCAGTCGAGATGCCTGCCTGACACCGTTTGCATCTCCAGTACGCCTCCTCGCCATCAGCGAGGTCACGAACACAGGAAGCCTTGCGGGCAGGAGCAAGCCCAAGCTTCTCCCCCGGATGCGAATCCAAGAAGTGCCGCTGATAGGCCGCATAGGCCTTCACAGGATCAGCACACTTGCGGCGAAAGGGACAAAGCCTGCATTTAGCAACTCCATCAGGGAAGGCTCGGCCGCGATTACGACGGGCCATCACAAGGGCAGACTGAGGCAGGGCCCGGCTGGCATGATGCAACCGCTCAGGTTGCGGGGCATCATCATCGTCGCACTCCGGCAAGGCAGGCATTTGAGAATGCACGGAAGCACCAGAGGAGACGGCTCGGGACCAGACCGTCGCAGCAGCACCGCGAGCGCGCTTAAGAGAAGAAGCGGCCTTTCTGCTCGACGCGTTGGTGACAGTCCACACAGTGCCCGCCTTCACAGAGGATGATCGGCTGGCCTTGGATCGGTTTGATCGGGCGCAAGCAGTCCAAACAGTACCAGAGCACTGGGAAGCGTCATCCCCTCCAGCCCTCAGGTCAACGACAGCACCACTCGTAACGGAGAAAACCTCCTCTGGGTAGTCTTTAGCATCCTTAGCTGGCAAAAGAAGCTCGATGTGCCGAGGCGTGTACCATAACACCAGCCTCCTTTTGCGCTGCTGCGCATGAAACGACATCGCACTAAAATTCCCATCGCGTGGGATCACAAGGATGTGGCAATCAAATAAACGTCCGAGAGCCTTCAGCTCGATGGTAGAGGCGTATGCAGATTCCGAAGCAATTAACTTGAGGTATTCCTCAAAGGCGTCCTCCGGAGATGCGGCATTTTCGCGCAATTTTTGTAGAGCCGGCCCGTGGCCGTCCCATTCCCCTATATATTGCGAAGCATATTTTCGTAAGTGCTCTACACAGCGCGCCCTCAAGTCCCTGTGGGAGTGCTCAGTCTTCTTAGGGCCCGAAAGCCAGTGGAGGCCACGCGCTATGGCGTGAAACAGACAGGCTCCGTCTTTCGGAGTCTCAATGAGATCACACCCCGAGGGGATTTGCCGATGCGAAGCCGCAACATGTTTGGCAGGGGACACCTCCTTACCTTCATCGTCCAGCTCAGCAGGGACCTCAAGTTTAACAGGTTTGGGCTCCAGTGCAGGCTTCTCCTTGGCAAGGCAGGGAGTCGGCGCACATCGCAGAGGTCGCTGCTTAGCTTGCTTAGGCTTATAGGGTGCAACCGTAGCCCACAGCGTGATTTCATTGTCCTTCCCCGGCTCGCTCTCGACGATAGCACTCAAAGGAACCAGATCAAGATCACCGTGTTTGAGCGTAGCTCTGAAGCGATACAAGTACTCGGCGCCAGTGCGCTTATGCTGAATCAGAGCCACATCCTTGAAGGATTGGTCCAGCACCTGCAGCACTTCCTTCTGTCCCCAGGTAGCCGGCACATGAGGGAAATTCCAAACACGCGGGACAGCCTGTGAGGGATCCCTAGGCGATCTGGCGCCAAGGCGTCCGCCCTGGGTGGCAAGACCATAAGGAGCACTCATGCGGAGGCCGCGTTCAAGATACGCAGCCGGAGCTTCCCCCTTGGTAACAGCGAGCCACTGCACAGTGGAGACAAGCTTGCCGCGCGGTACATCAACAAAAACTCCATCCCGGCCACTGACAGCGACGAGAGAAGACAGCTCGGCATCCAGGAGGCGAGCAATGCCAAACAGCTGCAAACCTTGCTTGCCAGCCTGCTGCTCCTCGACCCAACCCCACGTGTCACTCAAAGTGATTTGGTGAGAACTGGCCCAAGAAGAAGCAGCACGACTCGGGTTGTTCTTCCAATGCTTGAATTTATCAGGCGTCATGTACATCTCGGGCACCTTAAAGTAGACGACCGAAGTGGACGCCGGAACAACTTTAATGGCCTTGGCCTTGTGTCCCGCAAAGCAAGGGACACCACCATCAGCAGGGTCGGATTTGCAATGCACAATCGAGGCTCGCCGAAAACGCAGGAGATCGCCCACACATCCCGGAACCTTGTGAGGACCATTCGCGTCCAAGGTTACAAGGGTGATTTTATGGGATTTGCTGGTGCCAGCAAGCATGGTGCGAATTCTCGGCAGCGCCGAGGGCTCGACAAGAATGACAGCTTCAAGTGTAGAACCCGGTTTAAGATCGTCCAATGCTTTGGCAATGCCATCCTGCGACAACAACTGCGCGCTCCAATCCTGCCTTCGGAGCTGGAAGGGGCCCTGCGGGGGAGCACGCTGAACCTTGGTCCAGCCCTCAGCATCGCGAGGAGGTCGATCGCCCTGCCCTTTGCCTTTAGGTCCAGACTTGGGTGGGGACGCCTCTGCACTACCTTTAGCAGCACTCTTGGCCGAGCCCTTTGCAGCAGCAGGCTGACCACCTCTGCCACCAGATGCTTTGCCCTCGCCCGGCTCACGAGAAGAAGGATGGCGGCTCGACTCATGGTTTTTTCTCTTGTTACTGGGGTTAGGGTCAGGCTTATGGCGTTTAGGCCCTCGCTCCAGGTCCGGCTCCTGCAGCACAACACGGGGAGGGGTTGCCGGGGCACCTCCCATTGCATTTGCAATGGCTTCCTGCACAGCTTTCTGAATGAGCGCAGTGATCATGGGCATAAGCTGTTCCGTGATACTGGCCATCATGCCCTCAAACGGGTTACCGCCTCCAAACCTTAGGCCAGGGGGACCCGAGCAGCCCTCAGACAAGCAGGAGCGCAAGATAGCAGCAGAGTCCAGGTCCTGACCCGAGATCCCTTGCACTTGCCCGTCACCACCCTGCCTCGGAAGAGGCTGCCCGTCAGCAGGCCGCAGTCCACAATCGCAGTTGTGCATCACGCCAGGACATACCTCACACACACATGTTGAAAGCAGGCTGCTCGGGGCCAAATGGGATATACTCGGACCTTTCGGCCTACCTTGACCCACTGACCCCTGCAACTGCACACATACAGGCGGGCTTCTCGGATCAAGCATGGCAGCATGGCACTCGCAACACAGGCAGCAAGGCGTCAAACTACCAGGGGCCACGCGGGATATACTCGGACCTTTCGGCCTGTCTTGACCCAGGGGCCCCTGCAGTTGCGCACCGTCAAGATCACTCTGAGTTTGCAGCAGTCCCGCCAGGCGCGTCGCAGGCACCTGACACATGCAAGGGGAAACTGCATCGAGCTTGGCACCGTCCTGAGACTGCTCAACGGGACCACAGTCCCCTCGACCCACTGATGTATTGCACACCGACGGCGGCCTGTATTGGGAAGACCCCCGGAGCCCTGGGTCAGCGACCCCACCTCCTCCTGGCAAAAACTCCAAACCCGGATTACACCCACCGCCTGGGCTCCGGGGGCACGCTCTATTAGGCATCACTAGATCATCCCGATCAGCTGTTGCAGCAGCCCAGACTTCAGGTGCCCAAGAAACCAAAGGCCTAAACCCTAGGGGAGAAAGTGAAGCTTGGTCAGTGCAGCAATGGGGCAGCGCATCGCCCCCAACAGAAGACACGGGTACCCCTATGGGGGAGGACCTAAACCCTAGGGGGGCAGAGGAACCACGGCATGGGCAGCAGCCCCGGCAAGAAGCGTCATCCGCAACCACACCAGTGTCCTTGCCCTGCGCGATGAAGAACTGGCCGCCACCGTTGCCAGCCGCCAGCGAGCCCAGGCCATGGCAGCAGCACTGCGAGGAGGGAGAACAGGGGGGCTCCGGGGAGCCATGTCTACCACTAGAACTAGTAGCAGGCGCCAGAGGCCCGATATCAGTCTCACTCTTTGCCCTTTCGCGGGTCTTGATAGTGCTGAGCTCCCACAGAACACTAAGAACACGGCCATAAAGGCTCTTCGTCCTACGGTCAGGCTCGCACTCACCATCACAATCGGCACTAGTTAGGCCTCTCAGGCTCTTTGCCCTTTCGCGGGTCTTGCTGATTTCTTGACACACACAATCATCACTAGCTAGGCCTCTAAGGCTCTTTGCCCTTTCACGGGTCTTGTTGATTTCTTGAAAGTCACACACAGGGCTCTCAGCAGCGCAAGACGACGTCCCACACAGCCCAGCACCAAGGTCCAGACCAGCCGCTGAGGGAAGAAGCTGCTGCTGCGGCGCGTAGTAAAGAAATTCCTCGGAGAAAGTGTCCTCAATCAAGTGAAGCCCAAATGCTGCACTTGCCTGCGGCACGTAGTAAAGAAACTCCTCAGAGAAAGTGTCCTCAATCATGTGAAGCCCAAAAGTTGCACTTGCCTGCGTGTCGGAAGCATGCGCACAAGGCTCACTCGCCAAAGGTAGCCCCTGAGCAGGGCATTCATCCCCAGCAATCCCGTGATCCATCCCCGAGGACCAAGAGGTTGCAGCAGCAAGCGGGTTGCCGCGCACACACGTGCCATCAGAGCACTCCATCTCCGAAGCCCCTAGTCGGAGCCCCCAAGGCCCAACTGCACTCCACACCATGGTTCTCGGCACACCACGTTGAGCCAAGAAATCAAAATCCTTCTGGAACAGCTGAAGCTGAAAATCACGTGCTCGAACAATGAAAGCGCTCAGCATCTGCAGGCGCTGAGCCACCCTCGGTTGCGCATCTCGGTCATTGCCAGACGCTTTGCCCCAGCTGCCGAAACAGCTCTTTTCTTTCCCAATCACTTCTTTTCCCGACAAAGAAGCACCATCACTCAAAGCACAATTCATTCGCTTCAAAGATCGCCATAGGTGTAGGTAGAACCCACAATCAAGGCCTCCAGAAGAAGGAGCCATGGCCCGAAGGCACGTGTGGGAAGTGTCAGCCCTGCACTCGGGAAAGCACAGGTTAACCAGCTCAAGGCACGCGGAGCCCCTCCCCACTTGAGCCCAAAACTCCAGAACCGTATATTGCATAAAGATTCGTGAAACAGTATCCGGGCTCAATATAAAGAATGCCCGAGAATATAATAAGTATTGGAGCCAGTTATCAAAAATGCTCCCGAATATATTCGCACAACTGAAGTCGCGATCTCTTTTCTTCCGAGCACTCGAAAGGGGCTGTTCGAAAAGGGTTTTCGCACCGACAACTTCGGTGCATAACACGTGTGGTAGAGTTTCCACAAAGCGGTTTGCGGTAAGAGAATCCGCTATGTGTCAGCACCCGATTGCCCCCATAACAAGTGCTGCCATGGAATGCATCCAGGGAACGTCTCTGCACTGACCAGGCCCAACGCTCTGGCCACATCATCGCCCTTGCCCCTTGAAGGTCCGTCGGCGATGTTCGACTTCGACGGTACTCGAGCGTACCACGCGTAGGAGATCATGTTGTCTTCAAGCCTACACAGCTCGCGAAGCATGCGATCCATAATGCAAGATCTGCTCACGCCCTTCACAAGGGCTAGACGTGCAGGCTCATTGTCTATCCAATAGACGACTCGCCTGCCCTCCAGCCGTTCCCGGAAAACAAGCTTTGCACAGAAAATCGCATATAACTCGACCTGGCAGATCAAGTGTTCGCTGGCCTCGTTTCGCCATGCGTTCCTGAGCTCAGGCGGGAGCTCACCTTGCAACACACGCGTGAAGCCGTCGGCCGAATCAATCATCACGGCCCCTATGCCAGCGAAGTCGCCTTCAAGAGACCCATCCGTGAAGATGTGAACCACCTCCTTTCGATCTGACACCTTCACCTCCCTTGGACGGGCACTGCCAAGAAAATCCAAAGCCCGATCACAAAGCTTTGCAAACTCCTCGGGAGAGGGAAAAGCTTCACCATGGACTATCCTATTCAAGTCAGCGCAAATGTGATTTAGCGACATGCCCACACATGAGCCTGCCGCAAAACGCAAAAGTCCAAGCAACACCTGGCCAAAATGCTTTGTCATCGATCCCTCGGCTTTGACCTTGCCAAACAACTCCACGAGCCGCTCTATTCTTCCCGGTTTGTTTGAAATCGAGAGCTTCCCCAAGTGAAGATGTTCCACTGACATTTTGAGTCCCAGAACACTGCATGATGCATCGAAGGGCAAACCTTTGGATCCAGTCCCCGTCTCGGCATATCGGATGCCAAGCAGACTCAGCATGCGGCCGCACGCCTCATCAGTTGCCTCTGCCATGTCGGAGCGGGATAACATCGGGTAGTCATCATAGAAGTACGAGCACACCACGTTCAAGACTTTGGTGAACAAGAAATGTATGGCCCGACTTATACGGTTAAAGCTAAAAACGCTGGCAGCGGCACCAAACATTAAGGCGTTCGCCACATACCAGGTTGGCTTTCCTTTTTCGTCGAAAATGACTATAACCGAAAGGCACCTATCCCGCTCGCTTACACAAAATTGTTTGTAAGCCTTCGACAAGTCTAGGCATTTGACCTTCCATGGAACATGCACACCCAGGTCCTTTTGCATCTTTGCAACAGCCAGTGCCATGGCCGTAAAGTACGCACTATCCTGGAGCCTCAAGCGGATGGCCGACCATAAGCATCGTTGAGGTGGGCCTCGTGGCCGTCATCAATGGGACGCTTCTTATCGGACTGCTGAAGGAGAAATCTCCTCACAGCCACCCAATCTTGGGTTCCGAGGTGGTCTGACACTGCATCCTCGGACTCGAACGGTCCCGAGAGGAAACCTTCAGCCGTCTCTTCATCTGAGACCTTCCGAAGTTCAGCCGCCTCGTCCGCAGAGACTTTCCTGGGATTTGCAAGGATGGCTTTCCTCAAGTCCTGGGCTGCAGCTCTTAAGGCCTCGGGAGAGAGCTTTGCCAGCCTAACGCGCGTTTCAAAGCATTCGGGCTTCGGAGCGGACCCCACTAGATGTGACCCGTCGCTAACGAGGTCCACGACCCCCATGTCATCAAAACCGTGCTGCGACAACAGGTCGCGCAGCAACAGAATGCGCTTTCCTTTGAGGACTTTTTGCATCCAAGGTGGCTTTGACTGATGCAGTGCTCTCTCCTGCGACTCAAGTTGCTTGGCCCGGATCTCCATCTTAGTCAGGGCAATCTTTTGCTTAAGCTTAAGCACCTTAGCCTCCGAAGTAAGATTTTCCTTGATGGCCATCATGGTGGCTTCGGCCAGAGGGTTATTCGAGTCCATCGGATGCGGCAGCTTAAGGGCCTCCTTTACCCACACTTCGGGACTACGATAAACCCCAACGGTAACCATCCCCTGCCCCGCACCAGGCTCGGGTCCTGCGTGCCGCGGGGTTTCACACAAGGGGTTGGGGACTAAACCCGAAGAGGCAGGCGAGGGGACAGGGTTTCCCTCTGGGGGCCCAGGGTGCTCGAAAATGGACGAAGGCTCATGGTCAGAGGGTTTCGGCAGGCCCCCCGTCTTCACCCCAATCATTGGGGCCGTGAGAACCTTCATGCAAGAGTCGTCGACGGCCGACTTGGGCACATGCTTTATGGCGGCAAACTCGGAGATGAGAGGCTGACTCTTGCGATGCTGCACGCCCTGGGCGGCGTAAGCAGCATGTTGCACGTCCAGCGGCCGTGGGCAAAAGGAGAGGCCAGAGGCCTGAGCTTGGGCGCTGAAGCGTGCAGCCAAGGCTTCAGCAAGCTGGACGGGATAGGAAGCCTCGAGGTGAGTGGCGAAAACCCGGGCGTGATCATGAGAGCGATCGCAACGGGCACACAAGTCGGCCATCTGCTTGCAATTGGTGAGCAACCGCGTAGTTTTCGGCCGAGCCCCGCCATACATGCAGTGATCAAACTCCACCTGAAAGGTTCTGTGGCTGAAGCGATGCCAGGCAGCTTTAGGGCGGGCACGAGCCAGCGAAGCAAAAACGGCCCAAAAGTGACTGTTGGCGGGATTCTCAAGCGTGAAAGGCACAGCATTCTCAAGCGCCCAGCAGACCAAGTTGAAAGTGAAGAGGTAGAGCAGGTTTGCCTGCCGCACGCGGTGGTATTGAGATGAGGCTTTGTCAAGGCTTGGCAAACCCAAGGGATACCGAGCAGATCGCAAGGGCTTGGGCTCTCGAACGCCCTGTTTCAGCAGCGCTGATGGCAGGGGGCGCTCACGGGCTCGGCTGGCGGTACCGCAAGGCGGGGCTATATGCACTGCATCAGGAGGGGTTGCTCGAAGACGATCCATAAGCAGATCTTGCTGGGCCTCTTGAGCGAGATCCAAGCGCACTGTTGGCATAAGAGCGGCGCGAGGCCGGTGATCGACGGCCAGAGTTGCAAAGCCAGCGGCGAAGAGGGCCCGAGACAAAACAGCGGTGCCGCTGAAGACCTCCACCGCAAAAGGCTGGCGGCTCAGCTTGTGGATAGAATGCTGACACGCGGCAAAGCCCAAGCTGGAAGCGAAGTCAGCATCAGCGGTCGACAATTTGTCGATGAAATTTGTTGTGTACGCAACTAAGACTACACGGCGGCCAGACCATGGTAAGGTCGCATGTAGGGCCGATCTGGCTGAGAAGACAGCAGGGCCCGGGATCGTTGGCAAAGCAACTCCCAGAAGCCTCTTGCCATTCACCTCCAGGGGCGTGAGGCCCTGAGCATTCTGGACCCAGACTTCGCCGCCTGAGTAATCAGACAGCCCGAAAACAGCATTGCGAGCCGACTCTAGGTTATGAGTGTCGCGGTGCGCGACAGTGCAAACGTTGTCAAGGATGACTATGGCAGAAAAGGAGTGGCTGGGGCACTCCTGCAACACAAAACGAGTAAAAACTTTAGTGCTTAAAGGGAAAAGGCGGCAGTTGTTTCGCAATCCCACAAGGTTTCCATGCACCCAGGTGCCGGTGCCGAAGGAAAAACCTCCAGCTTCTGCACGCCCAGCAGTAGGCGCATCCTCGTGAGGGAGCAAGTCAAAAAGCTTCAGCAAATCTACACGACTGGCCGAAGAAAGTTCCAAAAGGGATGTTGCAAAGATTTCGGCAGGGTGCAAAGGAGGGCCCCTTGGCTCTGCAAGCACATTTGCCTGGCACTGCGACGACTGGGAATCCACAGGGTGCGCCGCGGTCCCTGCGGGCTTTCACTGATTCGGGCGAGCCTTTGTGCACTCGTGCCCCGGGTGGGCACCACCACAGCTTTTCCACCAACACAGGTGAAAGCCTCGCCCGCACCTGCCTTTCTTGGACACCTTGAACTTGCAGGAGCCGCAGTTAAAGGCGAAACACACAGGTTTGTCATTCACCTTAGTGACTGCTCCCTCAGGCACGGTAATGGAAGCAGCAGTTCCACGATCCTTGCCTTTCTTGCCTTTGCCTTTGCCTCGGCCTTTGGGGGTGTCACCTTTCTCGGAGCGCTTGAGAGGATTGGACGGCAAGCTCTGGGCAGGCAGGTGATTCAGAAACTGCAACACATCACTGTGATCGCTGAGGAGCTTAAGCTGTTCATCAAGCGGTTTGACGCGGCCCGGGGCGGCAGCAAGGGCTCCTAGCAGATTGGAGGCGGCCAGGGTGAACAAGTGACGATCGGCTGCCACGATTTGAGTCAACGCCACTCCGTGGTAGCCAGGAGGGGAAGGCCGCTCAAGTGTCACAAAAAGCTTATGCACCCAAGCCTCCATGGCCTGATATGTCGCGAGGCCCGCAAGATCAAAGGCGAGGCTCCTTCTCGCCCAAGCCTGGCGAAGGGTCCACTCGGAACCCGTGTCACAATGTTCGAACTTGTCAAGCTTGGAAGTGACCTTAAGGTTTCCATCTGAATCAATCGACAAAGCTTTGTCTGCTTTGGCCGACTGAATTTCCTGAGCCCTTGAGAGGTACTTACCGGGAGGCAGGTAGACTAGTGTCCCGGTTTCAAGCATTTCCACAAGTCGATCTACCACACCATGGGATGGTGTGGTCTCT